ACTCTAAAGACTTTTCGATGAATCTGAAATGTATTTCCCCAGCTTCAACTTCTCCTTCCTTTTTTTTTTTGAGACAGAGTTTCACTCTTGTTACCCAGGCTGGAGTGCAATGGCGCGATCTCAGCTCACTGCAACCTCCGCCTACCTCCTGGGTTCAGGCAATTCTCCTGTCTCAGCCTCCCGAGTAGCTGGGATTACAGGCACGCACCACCATGCCCAGCTAATTTTTTGTATTTTTAGTAGAGACGGGGTTTCACCATGTTGACCAGGATGGTCTCGATCTCTCCACCTCGTGATCCACCCGTCTCGGCCTCCCAAAGTGCTGGGATTACAGGCTTGAGCCACCGCGCCCGGCCAACTTCTTCTTCCAACTGAAATTTGCATATTTCCAACAGTTTGGTGGAGATACCCACTTAGGGCTCCCTCCTGGTCCTGATAGGTACACAAATGTACTCAAGGCCCCTGGCTTTCCCTCTCAGCTTTCCTGTTTTCTAATCATGGCAAAACCATTCTCCCTCCCAGTCACAGGCCTGAATCCTTCAGAACCAGACAGGACTCCCTGCATTTCTTTGTGTCCTGTACTACTGACAAATCCTTTTGCGTTCTATTTTTGAATTCTCTCAGCCATTTCCTGTTTTTCTACATCCCCCTCACCGCGCCTGGGAATATGATTACTTTTCACCTGGATAATTACGATCGACTACTCACTGCTTGCTATGGTCTGAATGTCCCCCAAAAGTCACGGGTTGAAACTTAACCTCCGCTGTGGTAGTAGTAAGAGGTAGGGTCTTCTGGAAAGCAAGTCATCAGAGTTCCACTCCACCGAATGGATTCGTACCTTATAAAAGGGTTGGAGAAAACCAGCGCAGGCCCCTTTTTGTGCGTCTGCCATGTGAGAACACAGGCTTTGCTGCCTCTTGAGGATGCAGCCACAAGGTGCCATTTTAAAAGCAGAGAGGTCAGGCCCTCTGTTGAGGTTCCTGCGCCTTGATCCTGGACTTCTCAGCCTCCAGAACTGCAGTATTTTTATTGTTTATAAATTACCCAGTCTCTTGGATTGTTACAGCAGCACGAACTGACTGAGACTAATTTTTATTTTATTTTTTGGTTCCAGAGATCTTTTCCTGACGCAGGGGAATGGCTCCCTCTTCATTTCAGTGGGTCTTTATCTTCTACTGAATTCATTTCAACTCCTCTGCCAGATGCTGAAGGCCCTCTGTGGTCTGAGCCTACACCGTATTTCTTGCCATGAAAATCACAGCTCCTAGCTGTCTATACCACACCTCTCTCTCAGGCTAAATGGCTGGGGTATTCCCACAAAAGACCATGAGTGGCCAACATGACACTTTCGTTCTCTACTCCTGCTATCTCGGAAGCCCATCTCTGCTCATCTACATTATTGGATGTAGATAACTCTTTAGAGCCCAGCTCAAATGCCCTCTCCTGTATGACTCTCCTCTCCCAAGGCAGGCATTATTATACTGACAGAACAAGGAGACTGAGGTTGGGAGAAAGGAACCAATCTATTCAAGACCCAATGGTCAGTAAGCACCAGTGCTGAAATCCTAGTCTTGGGCTGCATAACGCTGGCCTTCCCATGCTCAGCCCCTATCTATTTCAGCCTCTCATATTACACAAAAGTGGATGTTGAAATCAGGCAGTATAAGCATCACTGTTTCAGTGTCTTCAGCAGTCTCTGCCACTCTCGTGGATTTGTAAGCTGACTTAAACACTGTTAGTCCTATGGAATAGTTACTGCTTTTGGTCTCCAAATAGGCATTTCTCAGGCAGGGGCAGCTGGAGAGGGCCCTGTACCCATGTCAGCCCTTGGTAGTAAAAATGAAGAGTAGCAAATATCATGATGAGAAATCTTACACTTGTATTTCACAGAATAGCCAGGGCATCTGAGGTTGAGGTACACTGTGGTACCCCGGTTTTCTCTGTTACACTGTTGGTAGAAAAGTTCTCCAAATGGCCTCCCGCATGCTGAGCCTCTCATAAGTGGTTAATTTTCCTGGTTTATTATGTTCATTTTCAGAAAACATAAGTGAAAGAATGACAGATTCAAGAAAAGTTACATTTTTATCAGGGTCAAACACACTTAGCTTTTTTTTGGGTTGTTTTTCAAAATAGGAAGAAATTCACATTCCTATCTTAATTTAACACAGAAAATTTAGAAATAACCACCCCTGGCTGTGTCATTTGGAACAATGATATCAGTGTAGATTTGTTTATTTATTTATTTTGAGACAGCATCTCACTCTGTTGTGCAGGCTTCAGTTCAGTGGTGCGATCTCAGCTCACTGTAACCTCCGCCTCTCAGGTTCAAGCGATTCTCCTGCCTCAACCTCCCCAGTAGCTGGGATTACAGGCATGCACCACCACGTCCAGCTAGTTTTTGTATTTTTAGTAGAGACAGGGTTTCTCCACGTTGGCCAGGCTGGTCTGGAACTCCTGACCTCAGGCGATCTGCCCACCTTGGCCTCCCAAAGTGCTGGGATTACAGGCATGAGGCACCGTATCCAGCTGTCAGTGTGGTTTTAAGAGAAAAAAAGAGGGAGACATGATGGATGATTATTATCAGAAGTAGAATTCAGTTTTGCCATAAAATGTCCAGGGCTCAGGATTTTACCAATGGCTAACACAATGGCACTGGGCAATTGAGCCTATGACAAAATACCCAGAGCCAAATATGACTATTTCATTGTTCATTCTGAGTGGGGCTTTATCTGACTTACATGGTGAGAGTAATCACACCAAAACCACACTTCTACTACATTAGGGGCCCTGGCCCTAATTCGGATTATTCGAATGGGAATTATTCTTTTATCCGAATTAATTTAGTACTTTATTACAATGCTCTGATGGCCTGTATTGGGGATTTTCAGACCTTTTAAGCATCTACATTTGCCAACCGCTGTATTAAACTAAGAGACTTTGCTTATTTTCTCCCCTCTACAAGCTATTTGTGATGACTCAAAATTGTAGCAGTTACCTTTGAAGTGAAATATCTTCTACAATATCCAGGCATTTGAGCCTTGCAGTTAAAAGTGCAAACGTTTAATTGAGTTTAGTGATGATAATATTTAGCACATGGCTTAAGCAGTAACAGAGGTATTTAATTTCAAATACCAAACACACAATGAACCCCATCACCTTGCTCTTTTAAAAATGCTTCGAGGGGGCCAGGCGTGATGGCTCCAGTCTGTAATCCCAGCACTTTGGGAGGCAGAGGTAGGTGGATCACGAGGTCAGGAGTTCCAGACCAGCCTGGCCAACATGGTGAAACCCCATGTCTACTAAAAATAAAAAAATTAGCTGGGCATGGTAGCGGATGCTGGTAATCCCAAGGTACTTGGGAGTCTGAGGCAAGAGAATTGCTTGAACCCAGGAGGCAGAGGTTGCAGAGAGCTGAGATCACGCCACTGCATTCTAGCTTGGGCGACAGAGCAAGACTCTGTCTCCAAAAAAATAAATGCTTTGAGGATGTATAGGAGGCATACTTAAACAGGGGAAGAAGCCCTACCACTTAGCTATCATTGTAAATACTTAATACTTTAAAGAAAACAACATCAAAAGAGATAATGGAAACTTCATCTTCGAATAGATACATTGTTCTTTTTTTAGACATCCACGATCATTCATTTTGAGAAAAATAGCTTCACAAATAAAAGAGCCACTGAATACGAAGCAGATGAATTCATCTAATATTCTTTTCATTACTAATAGCCAAATGTCTTCTACAAGCTTAATGGTCACACTTTAGGTTTCAAGAAAATAAAATTTATGGGCATTAACCAATCAGTTATCTTTTTCAAGTGTCAGGTATAATAATTGAACAGCCTTTTCGAACATTCATTGAACACAGGTGAGTTGGAGAAGAACACTTTCTTCACATAAAGTGCTACCTCAGCCTTTTCCCTGTAAAATTCAGCTGTTAAAGCTCTGATTTGAATCCATCCATCTGACAAAGTTCTAATACCCAGAATCTACAAAGAACTTAAATTATTTACAAGAAAACAAACAACCCCATCAAAAAGTGGGCAAAGGATATGAATAGACACTTCTCAAAACATTTATGTGGCCAAGAAACATATGAAAAAAAGCTCATCATCACTGGTCATTAGAGAAATGGAAATCAAAACCGCAATGAGATATCAGCTCACACCAGTTAGAATGGCGATCATTAAAAAGTCTGAAAATAACAGATGCTGGCGAGGATGTGGAGAAATAGGAATGCTTTTACACTGTTGGTGGGAGTGTAAGTTAGTTCAACCATTGTGGAAGACAGTGTGGTGACTCTGCAAGGATATAGAACTAGAAATACCATCTGACCCAGCAATCCCATTACTGGGTATATACACAAAGGATTATAAATCATTCTATTATAAAGACACATGCACACATATGTGTATTACAGCACTATTTCCAATAGCAAAGACTTGGATTCAACCCAAATGCCCATCAATAATAGACTGGATAAAGAAAATGTGGCACATATATAACATGGAATACTATATAGCCATAAAAAAGAGTAAGTTCATGTCCCTTGCAGGACATGGATAAAGCTGGAAACCATCATCCTCAGCAAACTAAACCAGGAACAGAAAACCAAACAGTGCATGTTTTCACTCTTAAGAGGGAGGTGAACAATGAGAACACATGGATACAGGGAGGAGAACTTCACACACACTGAGGCCTTTAGGGTGTGGGGGGAAAGGGGAGGGAGAACATCAGGACAAATATCTAATGCATGTGGAGCTTGAAACCTAGATGATGGGTTGACAGGTGCAGCAAACCACCATGGCACACCACACGTATACCTGTGTAACAGGTATACGTGTGCATGTTTTAATATGTATCCCAGAACTTAAAAGTAAAAAAAGAAGAAAAAAAAAGCTCTGATTTGTACACCAGTGGGAATATGAAGTCCCTGGGCTTTTGGTTTTTCTTTCATCTAGGATTGAACCGCCACTGCTATTACTATTTTTCTTATTTTCTGATTATTTTGGTTCCCATGGAAAAATATTTATCTGCAGCCTCTCCACAAATGGAAATTTTTTACTCTCATCTAACAGAAGGTTCGCATATGAACAATTCTCATCTTTTAAATAAAAATTTACTTTTGTACCTGCCTGAAAGGACTGAAGTTCACACCCCTACACGCTCCTCCATGACCCTTCTTCTCTCTCCCCGGACACAGCTGCACTGGAAGTATCTGTAAATGGGATGGACTAATTTTTCCCTGTAAAGAAGCTGCACTATAAATCAGCAGTCACCCATTCTAGGCATTTTGCCCACACCAGTACTATGAGATCAGATTTAATTTTCCAATCAGCAGTTCTGTACTTGTCTGATTCTTGGCTCAATATACAACTGTTATGTTTATTATACTTAATCTCTCCATGGCCTCTGAAACTCCTCAGGGCTCATACTCCTCATCTGCAAAATCATGGGAGGCTGGTTCCACGGTTTTTGCAGTTCCTTCACGTTGAGCCCTTTCGTCTATACACTTGCTACATGGGTGTTCTCTGGGAGCTTGTTAGATGTGCAGAATCTCAGGTCCCACCCAGATCCAGGGAATCAGATTCTGCATGTTAACGTGATCCCCAGGTGACTCTCATGCATGTTTCCATCTGAGAAGACCTACTGCCTACCCACCAGCACAGTGACCACAGCCTCAAGCTGTACAAAGACACCACCACAAAACAGCCTTGGTTACCCCTTCATCAAAGAAAAAAAAGCATAATGGCTGGGTGTGGTGGATTACTTGAGGCCAGGAGTTCAGGACCAGCATGGACAACATAGTGAAACCCTGTCTCAACTAAAAAAAATACAAAAATTAGCCAGGCATGGTGGCGCATGCCTGTAATCCCAGTTACTCGGGAGGCTGAGGCAGAGGAATTGCTTGAATCTGGGAGGTGGAGGTTGTAGTGAGCTGAGATCGCGCAACTGCACACCATCCTGGGCAACAGAGCGAAGCTCCATCTCAAAAAGAAAACACAACAAGGCATGAGATGAGTGTGGGTCAAGAAACAATATTGCCAGGGGAAACTTCACTCTACAACACCTTAAAAGTCAAGTTCTTCGAGCCCAGAGTCATGCCTTGAAGTTACTTATCATCAGGGTCACGTTCCTGAACCAGAAAGTCACAGGAAAGAAAAGACTGCACACGGACTTCCTCCTTCACTGGACCATTTGCTACGGGAAATTTTCAGGAAACAGGCCAGTAAGTGTAGAGGACATCACAGGACACACTTCACTGCTGGGTTTCCCAGGAAAGAGCAGCTCTCCCATACTGAAGACACTTTTAGCAGACTGGTCTTCACTAGGGAGTAAATATACTAAAAAAGCATGGACTTACTTGTAGGTCAGTGGAACAGCTGATTTGGGGAAGAACTTATGTGATCGTTAAGTGTGGTAGGGATGTACTGATTAGCATAGGTACTACAGCCATCTGCGATGCCAGAGCCATACTGTGATGGGACTATGCCAGCTACGCCACCTTAATAACTGCGAGAACTGCACTCATGGTTTTTCCTACCTATCTGCTCATTCGATAACCACAATCACCTCCCTTAGTGGGATTACTACTCCTATTCATAGTTGAACAAACTGACATCCATCCTGAGAAGTACACTTAAAACTAGCAGGTGGCAGAACTGAAATCTGAACCCAAGTATCCCAATTCCTGATGCAACTTTCTCACTGTTCCATGAAAAGTTCCATTTTATAGAGGACATGGCTATATAACTTGGATTAGAAACTAATATTAAAGAAGCATAAACCCATCTATTATCACAAGCACCCTCTTTTTCATACATTTCATATTTTTGATAGATTTGGAAAGGAATAAATTCAACGGTATCTTTTTTTTTCTTTCATGTAAAGAGGCCAAGTTAAAAGAGATGAAGCCAAGGCCAAGGCCATAGAGATTCTTCACGGTGGAGCAGGGCTGAAAAGCTCCCTCTTCTAGCCAAGTGCGGCCTTGCCTGTCACTCTACTTGGACAGCCCATTCCCAACGGCACCATCCCCCCAGAACACTCTCCCAATCCTCTAGGTTTCCCTTCCTCAGAATGAATATGATGGTTACCTGAATGGCCAGAAGGTTTTACTGACCCTGAGTTAAATTTGAAATAATTGGGACTCCTTTTGATTTTGAGTTATTTAAAGGTCTGAACAGTACATTTATTCTGCTAATGCAATCAATCCAAATATCCATCAGCATTCACAGTGTGGTGTAGTCACCTGGGCAGTGCAATGGTCAAGAGTGAGACACAGACCTGTATGATGCGGCCACATTTTCCAACTTGGGGAACTTTTACACACATACTATCACAAAGTAAACGCTGCATCACAAATTCAGTTTTTATCTTGACCTCCAGAAAATTAGGCTTTTTTAATTTTTATTTTTTTGAGATGGAGTCTGTTCTGTCACCAAGGCTGGAGTGCAATGGTACAATCTCCACTCACTGCAACCTCCGCCTCCCAGGTTCAAGTGATTCTCCTGCCTCAGCCTCCTGAGTAATTGGGATTACAGGCACCTGCCATCAGGCCTGGCTAATTTTTGTACTTTTGTAGGGATATGTTGGCCAGGCTGGTCTTGAACTCCTGACCTCAGGTAATTCTCCCACCTTGGCCTCCCAACATGCTGGGATTACAGGTGTGAGCCACGGCTTATTTTTAACTACACTATCAATCTTGAAAATCTCCCAGACTACATGTCAAAATCTGGGTTTATTTTTGTTTAAAGTAACAGTTTCCTGGCCACAGATTTTTAAATGAAGCATGCTTTGTCCCCTTATGGTAACAAACTGTCCCTGGAAGGGACACAAACAAAGCTTCACATCACTCGTGAAAATGTTCCTTATTGCTAGGGACATTTTCCTGAAATGTCACTTGTCTGGCTCGGACTGAGGGTAGAGATGAAGGCCCTTTTCATGTCAGACACATTTCCTTCTGGCTTGCAAACATCACAGATCAAACAACTTAAATCTACCAGTGGCATCAGACGGCAATCAAGATAGAGACCAGCCAGGCTCCCTGGCATCTAAAAGCAGATTGTGGGGCTCTCTTTTCCCATTTACTTGTAGAACTTGTGCCAATGTGCTGATCTGATTTCCAACTACATAGGGAGTCTTGGTCCTGCCTGGGTTGTCAGGAACTTCAAAGTACAGGCTAAAGGCTGGGCGCAGTGACTCAAGCCTGTAATCTCAGCACTTTGGGAGGCCGAGGCGGGTGGATCACAAGGTCAAGAGATCGAGACCATCCTGGTCAACATGGTGAAACCCCGTCTCTACTAAAAATACAAAAAAATTAGCTGGGCATGGTGGCGCGTGCCTGTAATCCCAGCTACTCAGGAGGCTGAGGCAGGAGAATTGCCTGAACCCAGGAGGCGGGCGGAGGTTGCAGTGAGCCGAGATTGCGCCATTGCACTCCAGCCTGGGTAACGAGAGTGAAACTCTGTCTCAAAAAAAAAAAAAACAGGCTAAAAAACAAGTTTATGTACCAAAGAAATAATCTCTAAAAGATGTTCTATCAAGATTATAACACACACACACACACACACGCACACACACACACACACACCCTCCTTGTGTTGAGGAAACACACAGTGAAGTATTTAGGTGTAAAGGGCCATTATGTCTGTAACTTCCTTTAAAAATTTTTAAATATATTTTTAGAACTTTTCTGTAAGTCTCCAACTATATCAAAACAAAGAGTTTAGTATTGTAGGCATTGTCAGCTTTAATTTATACATATTTGGATGTTTTCCTCTGGTTCAATTTATAGTGAAATTACATCACATGCCCATTAATGTGATATAAGCTACATGTCTTCTACAAACAAAAATAAAAATGAATGTGATTTTGCTGCCTCATGTCTTTTAAACGTAAGTCAATTATTTCACATGGTTTTTAACCCAAGAAACAGCTCTCTTCACATACTACAGGAAAAACTGGCTGCCTTGGGCTGGTTGAGACGTGCACTTTGATGGCTGACCTGAAGAAATTTCAAGGTGACTGTTACGTGAAATTCTCTCTACAAATCTGACTTTAAGAGCCTAACCTCTGCAGCATACGTTATGACTTCACTGTCAGGCTTCTTTTATTTAAAAACGATCAGTTTTTACTAAATATAAGAGTAACATAAACTCTGTGCCAAAAATACAGAAAAAAGGAATAGTACTAGTTCATTTGCAATTCTACCAGCAGAAATAAGAGTAGTGTTTTTTAAAACGGTTTTATTCTTTACAGCATTATCTCAGGTCTTCCTCATCATTACTTTACTATATAATTTTTATGATTATGCTTAAGGAGAATAAATTTTTTCAGGTACTGAGGTACCTGGGCAGTCCTTGGAAGGAGGATAATTCGGCTTGAGGACACCAAGGAATCATGAGAAAGAATTACGCAGTTCCATTCCTTTTTCTGGGTACAGCTTGTTTGTTTGTTTCTCCTTCTCCCTCTAAGTAGTTCTTAGATATAGAATAAATTGGAAAAAATGAAACATGAAGTTTTCTACTTCTGGAACAGTATCACATTTATTTTTTAAAACTGCAAATGTTCTCCGTGAGGACAAGAAAGTACAGTGAGCAAAAAAATTCCTCAAATATTAGTTTTCAGGCTCTTGCATGCATTTTTATAAAGGCAGAAGGCGTTCTGGTGCCTTTATACAATCTAGGGGCATAATCTCCTGGAACCTTCAGTGCAGGTTTTGGGGTTTTCCGGCAATCAATCCACAGTGTCCCATTTTCTCTACTGGAACTCTGAACCAATTAAGAGAGAGCACGAAGAGATGTAAACCTCACCTTTGCTTCTGATAGAAGCCAAGCCCTTACTAGCCCACATGATGCTTTCTCTGGAGAGCGAGTCACATACAGGATATATGGCTTGTCCAACTGCACGCTGGACTGAATTTCAGCTCCAATCTGAACCTTCCAACAAGACAAGGGAGGGAGGAGAATGGGCCTTAGAAAGACATGCCCACAGCACTGCTATGATGCTGTGGGTACAATTCTAAGAGTAGCACTCATTTTGTAGTTCAGTGAGTGGTGTCCCTAAAGCTGTGTCCTATCTGACCAGCCCCCTCTCTCAAGCTCATGAGAGAAGTCTATCTGACCTGGGTAAGAGAGATCCTGGGGTGGACCACAGCAAACAAACGAAATGGGAAACAGTGCCCCTCGTGGCGGCCAGCAAAAACTCTGCCATACCGTGAAGAAAGTACATTCTAATTGATTTATGTTGATACGTGCTGAATTGATGGAATTTTATACTTCAAAGGATGCAAAGAACTGGTTAGCAAGTCTGAGGAGCTCACGGTAGAAAGGATGATTTTCAACATCCGTATGTAGTTAATTTCATTCAAAGAGCTTAAAAAGGCTTATGCAGATAATTATAAGGGGAACTGGCAAGTGTGTAAGATTAGCACAAATTATATATATATATAAAATCACAACACAGGATCAGCTCCTTTTCCTACAGACAGCACATCAGCCTTGTAAAGCTCATTTGAAATGTTTATTTATGCAGATTTTAAAAAGCACACAAACCCTTTATGCACTTCTGCACAGTGGCCTACTCATGCTTTCTTTAACACAAAACGTGCTTTGTGGTGAACAAGTCTAGATATAGGAATGGCTCTTTCTCTTCTGCTTTAGCCTTTTCACGTCCTCCTTTAACAATGTACGGGGAAACCAAGCCTGACAACGGAAAGCACTTCACATTGGGAGCCTGGAAATGAACGGAAAGTATCTGTCTTCAGGAAAGCATTCATGATGCAAGCAGTCAGAGAAGCTGGAAAGAGTCACTTTAAAAGAAATAATCTGCAACCAAGAAAATCAAACCACTTTATCAGAAACCCGTGAGCGCCCCCCCTCCCCTCCCTCCCTGCCTTCCTTCCTGTTTCCAGGCAAGTGCTAGAAATAACTTTTTCTTTTTAAACAATTTTAACAATTGGCAAATTCTTTTTGCTCAAAGGGCTCATGGTTCAGAGGAAAAGACAGGCATATAAATAATTAGCACAGAAGTGTTATGGTAGGGATACCGACTGACCAAGAAACAAGCCTGGGCTTTAGAGGTGTGACTAGGGATACTACAGTGGAGCCCAAGGGAAAGAGATCACTGTCCTAGCAGATACAAGTGCATGGACCAAGGCACAGAGGACCCGCTGTCCAGGAACTGTGACTCTTCTGGCTGCTGGGGTAAGTGAAAGGGAAGTGAAAAGAGAAGCAGCTTAGCCAAGGGGCTTTCAGTGGGTAAGACACAGAGGGCAGAGGAACATAATGACCTGTACCATGAGTATACAATTAGCAAAATCCCAGCCCACCAAAATTCTATGGGTCAAGTGACCTGCCCTTCATTAACAGGTAAACTGTAAAAAAGGATGGAGGAGAAGCCTAAAAATTATAAAAGGCTAACCAGACAAGTCAGCAGTAAAAAATGGCCAAGAGCATATCCAGTAAGGATGTACATGAAGAGTGGCCCAGAGAGGAACAGTGGGCATTTTGGTGGTGGGATTTGGGGGAGGATGTAACTGGGATAGGGCTGAGATGCTATTTGGGTGAAGGCAAACTTCTAATTTTTGACCTGAGTTTCAGTTATGAAAAGACCAAATATAGGGGAGAAAGGTTCTATTTACACACGTTGAGTTGCAATCTTTCAGGATACTGGGTGGAACCACTGGAAACGCGGACCCAGAGAGCTCACTTCTACGCTGAAGCAGCCCACAGGGAAGCCTAAGAATAAAAATGGAAGTGTTTGCAACACTAGCAGGACTTTGCAGGTGTCTTGAAAAAAAATTCCACATTAGATCCCCCAAAAGGGACTTATCTGGTATCAAATTCTGCTAGACAATGAACAGCTCCACCCATGATAAAGGAATGCGTCCCTGTGGAAAATTCTTTGTATTGTTTAACTGCAGTGCTTAACACAATAAGAACAGGCTGATGTTACTGTTAAGAACTAGAGAGCAAAGCATTTTTTATCCAAATAAATTGCAATGGGTCTTAAGTCAAATCACTTTAGTATAAAAATCTATGAGATCATAATAAAAAGCAACTTCATTTTTTCTTGCAGAGAACAAAGAAGAAAATAGTGTGGGAGATGAAAAGTGAAGTCGACTCAACTTTTTCACTAATTTGAGTTTGATATGTCCTCCATGCAGACAACGGTGAAGTGAAATGAAGGGGGTGTCATCAAGGCCAGTTCTCCTTTATTCACCTACAGAACCAGAAATCTTGGGGCTGGAAAGTATGACCCATTTGTCAGGATGGAATATTTCCCTCCTGGGGCAACTGCTTTCCATGGATGTACAGCTTCAGGTCTCATAAGGGAGGGCTCTCACTCCAATCTCTCCAAACTTCTAATCCCCACACTTTCCTGTCTCAGCACAAGACCCCATCCAGGCTTCTGAGGCTTGAATGAAAATTTATACAAAATTCTTGAAATTTATTTTAAGAAACTTACTTTAAAAATGTTACTTTCATCTCAGCACAGTTAGCCTTTCCTTACCTGCTCTGAAAATGTTTCAACTTGAAACTAAAAAAGAAAAAAACAAACCACATTTCATCTCAAATTATGATATACTAAATATTTATTGACTTGGCCTCAGACATTTATAACCTTTCCTTCTTATACAATCAGATTTTAAAATGTAACTATCTTTTCTAAACACAGAATATTAAAGCGCGTTCAACTGTCACTCGGGCTGGAGTGCAGTGGTGTGATCACAGCTCACTTGAACGTGGCCTCCAGAGCAGGTGGGACTATAGGCATGCACCATCACACCTGGCTCATTTTTAAATATTTGGTAGAGCCGGGGTCTCAGTATGATGACCCAGCTAGTCTTGAATTCCTGGGGTCAAGTGATTTTCCCACCTCAGCCATCCCAAGTGCTGGGACCATAGGTGTCAGCCACCATGCCCAGCCTGTGTTTTCTTTATGCTGGAAACATTCAGACTAGGCTCTCCTAGCTATCCATTAAATACTAGGTCTGATCCATTAAATACTAGGTCTTACTACTTCTATCAAACTGTATATATGTATCCATTAGTGAACTTCCCTTTGTAAGTCCGAGATAAGCAATCCTTATTTGGATTACACTGTAAGCTTCAACGACAAATTAAAAAATGATTCACATTATAGAACATTTATACATGCCTTTTCATCTTCCAAGTATGGTAAACATTAATTAACCCTGGCTAATTAAAACAGCCACAGTTTACAAATTTACTCATTAATCAGCCTCAAGCAAACGCAAAGCATTTGGTACCAATTAAACGTTAATTTTTTTTTTTTCAAACGAAGAGGTCATAAATTTAAGACACATAGTTCTTAGATTTAATTTTGATAGTGGTTGAAAAAATTCGACAATATTTCACATTCTTAAAAGTCAAGGAAAAAAAAAAAACTCTGCCTGTTATGGGTTGAATTTTCCTCCCAAAATATATGTTGATGTCCTAATGCCTACACCTGAGAATATGGCATTACTTGGAAACAGGGTCTTTGCAGATATAATTAAGTTGAGGGCATACTGAAGAGACTGGGTCCTTAATTCTATCAGAGAAGACACAGAAACAGAGACATAGGGAGAAACGAGAAGACAGAGGTGGAGATGGGAAGGGTGCACGTACCAACCAAAGGAACGTCAAGGGCTGACAGCAGCACTAGAAGCAAGCGAAAGGATGAAACAGATTCTTCCCGAGAGCTGTAAAAGGGCGTGTGGCCCTGCCAACACCTTACTTTAGGACTAACCTCTAGGATAACGAGATAATGAGTATATTTCTGTTGGTTTAGGCCATGCGGTTTGTGGAAACTGGTTCCAGTAGTCCTAGGAAATCTAATACACTGCTCATGTAAGTGAATATTAGCTGTTTGCTGATAAGACAAGAATTTCTGGTTATAATAATACACTGGACTCACCCCTGTAATCCCAGCACTTTGGGAGGTCGAGGCAGGTGGATCACCTTAGATCGGGAGTTTGAGACCAGCCCGACCAACATGGAGAAACCCCATCTCTACTAAAAATACAAAATTAGCTGGGTGTGATGGCACATGCCTCTAATCCCAGTTACTTGGGAGGCTGAGGCAGGAGAATAGCTTGAGCCCAGGAGGCATACGTTGTGGTGAGCCAAGATCATGCCATTGCACTCCAGCCTGGGCAACAAAAGTGAAACTCTGTCTCAAAAATAAAAATAAATAAATACACTGGAATAGAATGTGGTTTTCTTAGCGAGTCCTTTACTCAAGGCTGAGATTAAACAGATTAAGGAGATGACTCACGAGCTCCATGACAATAATCTAATAGTCTAATCCAGCCCTGTTAAGTGCGGAGATGATTTCCCTCTGAACACCCGGAAGTGTTACAGCTCTGTTCCTCTTCTAGTGCCCTTCCACGGGGATCAAATCCCTTCTTGACCACCAATGGCTGCATGTCTTATCCTGAGAAGACCAGGGGGATTTTGTGCCAGGTCAACCCTTACACTCAGCAAGGAGGTGGAAGGGCCTCAGTGTCAAACACTTTGTAAACACAGAGGTTAGGTCATTTCCTCTCCAATAAGTCAGAAGCTGAGCTGTCTCTGGCAGCAAACTGTGCATCAAATGCCAGGCAGGTTTCGGATTTTACTAACTCCAGGGTGATGAAAACATCACCACCTCTAATGCCAGAACGAAGTCAGCTGTCATACCTATGTGTCACAACTAAATTTACCGAAGTCAGTCAGGGCAACTGAAGTAATCTATGAACCTTAGCATGTCAATTTCAATTCAGGGTTCACATTCAACAAATTGGGTGTTAACAAAAAAAAATTCTCCAGTAGCCTAAAAGTTTTTCTTTTATTCTTGTATGAAATCTGGAAGACTGGAATAGAATGTTCTATGGAATGAGTATTTAGTAGCAACATTAGGTTAACTGTGACCTTTTGGCTCAAGGCATGAGAAAATACAGCTAAGGATGCATAGTCATGGATTTGTCACGCTATACTCTGTTATACAATCCAGCAGTATCCTCCTGCTTTAACAGTGTGGATATACTAGTCAAAGACTAATTTAAGGTCAGGCGCGGTGGTTCATGCCTGTAATCCCAGCACTTTGGGAGGCCAAGGCAGGCGGATCACAAGGTCAGGAGTTCAAGACCAGCCTGGGAGATATGGTGAAACACTGTCTCTACTAAAAATACAAAAATTAGCCAGGTGTGGTGGTGTGTGCCTGAAGTTCTAGCTACTCTGGATGCTGAGGCAGGAGATTCGCTTGAACCCAGGAGGGGGAGGTTGCAGTGAGTCGAGATCGTGCCACTGCACTCCAGCCTGGGTGACAGAGTGAGACTCCACCTCAAAAAAAAAAAAAAAATCTGTCAAATCCCTCCACACAAGTGTATGCTGTTTACGTACCTTACATACCAAGGAGATCTTGGATTTGAAGTTCATCAAGGCCAAGTGTAGGCTGCCAGACCACAATCTGGTTTTAATGCCTTAGGGTGCAGAAGCTGGAGAAATAAGACCTTTCATGCCTCCCCTGACTTATTTTAGGATAAAGAAGCTGTGCACTATATAGATAGTGGCTGAAGAACGATGAAGAGAATCTATCCAAAGTATGAATAAGCCAATGCTATGGATTGAATTGTGTCCCCCTGAAAATTCATATATTGAAGCCCTAATCCTCAAGGGACTTTTGGAGATTGGACCTTTAAAGAGGTAATTAAGGTTAAATGAGGTCATAGGGGTGTGACTTTCATCCAATAGGAGAGGTGTCCTCATAAGAAGAGGAAGACACCTCTCTTTTCTCTCTGAGAAAGACCATGTGAAGACATGGTGTGTAGCTGGCCATTTGTAAATCAAGGAAGAGAGGCCTCAGAAACCAACCTGCTGGTACCTCGATCTTGGACTTCCAGCCTTCAGAACCGTGAGAAAATTAGTTTCTGTTGTTACAAGCACTCAGTCTGTGGTATTTTGTTAGCGGCCCTAGCAGTCTAATGCATTTATCTAGTCACACTCAGACAAAATAAAGAGCAAAGGTCTGAATAGCTTTTTCTAGAGGATTCTGTTTTGTTTCTTTTTTTAGCTGCTGCTGCTGCTTTTTTTTTTTCCAGAAGGTAATAGCTGAATCTGAGAAGAGCAGTGTAAATTAACAAGGGCTCACCAGGGTTGTGCAAGGAACTTCTTGCACTGCCCCTTTCATGGAAATGACATGGAAGTGATTTACTTCAGATGTGACTCATTTCAGGATTTGAAAGCACAACTGACTTTCAGGCTTCTCTTTTTCTTTACTTGTCCATTTGCCACGGAAGTTCCCAAGTACTTCCTCCTATCTTGCTTCACTACAGGCAGACGGAAAAATCCAAACAACTTCCCCCTGTGTCTGGGACACCTCCAGCTCTGTGGTCTGTTTACTTTGAAGGAACAAAAAAGCAGATAGCATATGACTTGTATCTCAAGTCATGATAAGGAGATACTTTAAGAAGCAAAGACGTTTCAATTGCTCTCCTCTATAACCTGCAAAATTCATCTCCTACTGCAGTATAGAGTGAGTTGCCTCTCAGGACTGGCACCTGGAGTTGGTATTCAGCATGTGCTTTCTTTGTAATATTTTTGTCAATTCTCTAAATTAAAGACTACACTTCTTGAGCTGGCACTAGGCTCTCTGACAATCTTCCAAGATGAAGCTTTCACAGTCTCCATCGTTTACAATGCTGACCACTCCATGCAGATTTTGTCAATTTTCCCTTTCATCTCTTATTAAAATAATAGCACTTCGGATTTGAAGAGAGCCTAAATGGATAAATTCTTTGAGCAGAATGCCAGTATCAATGATAGAAAGGGAAGACTCGAAGAGGGAGGTAAACGTTCTGTAAGTAGAGAAGTAGGCCACATTTTCTCAAAGAGCAAATCAAACGGCAAATGAGGTTAAGTTATGAAAGGCAGAATTTTGTGACTGAAGCTCATCCCATGCTTATACTGTTTCTTATTTTTGTTTGTTTGTTTTGAGATAAGGTCTTCCTCTGTCACTTAGCCTGGAGTGTAGTGGTGTCCGCCAGGGCTCACTGCAACCTCCAACTCCTGAGCTCAAGCGATCCTCCAATCTCAGCCTCCTAAGCAGCTGGGACTATAGGTGTGACCCCTAAGCCCAGCTTACTATTTTTTTGTCTTTTTGTAAAAACAGGTGTTTTTTTTTTTTTTTTTACAAAAAGTAACCAGTCTCCCTGTGTTGCTCAGACTGGTCTCAAACTCCTGGGCTCAAATGATCCTCCTGCCTCAGCCTCCCAAAGGATTGGAGTAATAGGTATGAGCCACCACGCCCAGGCTCTTACACTGTTTATTCCCTTTAGATACAGTTAATGGAAATTAATAAGCAGTTTGTGCCAATCCCTTTTCATAGCTAGTAAGAAGTCTTCCATGGATAAATAAAACCTAGCCATTAATCCTCTCACACCCAAACAAACTCTCCATGCATCTGAACTTCTTCAGGTTAATAATGCTTCCTCGTAACAGTTTATAAAATCACCATGTTGGAAGTGAACACCACTAGAAATTCACATGGCCAATTTATAGATGGGGACTTGGTGGGGAAGTGGGAGGATCTCTGCAATCCAGAAGTTAGACTCTGCTGGAATGTATTTAGAGTTTGACAGGCTAAGTCTCTGCTTCATTTTTTTTTTTTTTTAATGAAAATGACAATGTCTGTCATCCTTCTATGTTCAGGAAAAATATAAATATAACGTAAGTTTCTAAGAATCCTTATATTTTTGTTATTGCAGAGTTTTAAAAACCTCTGAATGTTTAAAGGATCTTTTGCGGGAATAAGAAAAATACGGATCTCTGCAGATCTGAGGTTGAGCCCAAGAATCTGCATTTTAAACCAGAATCCTCTGAAGTATTGTGCTTCACTTGACCTCAATTACACATTAAAAGACAATAATTTCAGGATGACAATCTGAGCCTTTTCCATCCGAGGACTTAAAGCAACCAAACTGAAGACACTGACAAATGCCAGATACTTTTCTCTGTCTGCTGGCTGATGGCACAGAAGTGCAGAGGTCATGTAGGGCAGTACAGAAAGATCAAGCCAGGACTGGAGTCACTGAGTGAGGTCAGCTTTCCCTGCTAGTGAATCCAAAGCCTCAAGCCCTGATTATCAAGGCCTTATACAATAGTAAACACCCAGACTCAGGCTTCCACAGAGGGCTCCCAATTCTGCTCTAATATGTCTATTTTTCTTTAAAGAAAAAACATCTGGTTTTTGCACCCCAGGTATTTAAAGACCCACTTTGATTTCTGAAAGGCTTTAGCAACACATGAGGAACTCCTTGGGCCTTGATCTCTTTTAGCACTTTCACAGTTTCTGATTTTGATCAAGCCACTTAATCATCCAGGATTCTAAAGCTGAAAACCAAGAGGGTTTAACTCCACTTTCACACTCCCATGAGGAGCTGTTGGCAGCAGAATGAAGGCAAGTCCATACTGAACACGGGAAGGAAGCCAGCTCTTTCTTTTACATCAGAGATGTAGAAAGCAACCGTGTCTCACATTTGCATACAATATTAGACTTATATATGGATGCCGGGCTTGTCAAAAGACAGGCTAATTAGGGCATTATTTTCCTTAATGATTGTGATTTAGTAATCTACAGATAGTCCCACTTAATTTTTCATCCTATACCTGAAGGAGCCACTGCATACTTTAAGTGTAAGAAGGCTTCTCCATTAAGATGGAAAGGAGGCCTTCAAGTATCAAAATACTGGCTTTCTGGCAAAAAAAAAAAAAAAAAAAAAAAAAAAAAGGATGAGAAAAAGCAGAGATGTAGCCTATCAAATCTAAATACATGCTGGCAGGGAAAGACTACTGGATTACAAAGTTCATTCCCTGAGCCTGCACCTATTCCTCTTTTTCTCAAAACAGTTTCCTATTTTTTCAGTCTTTCTCATGATACTGACATTGCCAACCAGCAGTTTAGAAACTGCTCGGGTTGATTCTTAGCAGAAAATCGAGGGGCTTTCCTGTTATTGTTAATATCCTTAAAACACTTAAGTTTGGTTAGTCTGCGTCAAGCATTCTCAGTATACTAAAAAAAAGTACGCAAGAATTTCTAGAATTTATTTTGACTGACATCAGCTATCTTAATGAACAGGAAGACACAACAGCAAGGTATATTAGAAGCATGTCCTTCCTTTTTAAATCAGAATTATATAGAAATCGAGAGCTAAGGCCACAGTAGAGAATAATATCTTGGAAGAAGAAAACAGAGAATGTCTGACATTTTCATTGATCATTTAGGCTGATGGCTTAAACCATTTCTACCTAAGTTTCTAAAATTCAGCATTTCTAGCCAATATTACCTCCTGCAATTTCTCTATAATCTTAAGGGTGTTGAGCTCCTCAAGTGAGGGAGAGAGAGAGAGAGATGTAAACTAAAGGAAAGCCAGAGAAGGGGAAACTGAGTCTGTTACACATCATTTATCCTTTCTTTTTTTTTTTTTGAGACGGAGTTTTGCTCTTGTTACCCAGGCTGAAGTGCAATGGCACGATCTCGGCTCACCACAACCTCCCCCTCCTGGGTTCAGGCAATTCTCCTGCCTCAGCCTCCCGAGTAGCTGGGATTACAGGCACGAGCCACCATGCCCAGCTAATTTTTTGTATTTTTAGTAGAGACAGGGTTTCACCATGGTGACCAGGATGGTCTCTATCTCTTGACCTCGTGATCCACCCACCTCGGCCTCCCAAAGTGCTGGGATTACAGGCTTGAGCCACCGCGCCCGGCCCCATTTAGCCTTTCTTTAACATGATTTTAAAGGTAGTAATGCTTAAGAAAAAAATGTTAACACTATTAAGGGATATCAGGCAACAAGTAGAAGTGCCCCTCCCCGCAGATGTGCCAGTGTATCTGTAGAAATACGGTGCTAAAATCAGAAAGGACTGAACATTTTATTAAGTAGAGCCAAATCATCTAAAAGGTTTCACCCATATACTAACCAATAGCTGACGGAAGTTCCTTTTCACCTATCCTTGTCGTGACAAGGCGTAACAGATTTTTAAAAAATGACCAACTTACCATAATTTTAAAAATTACATTTTGATTGGTATTAGTCATGAGAAGTTATTCATCTTTTTTATCTACTACTACTTATCAGATATGTGTGCATTTTTTTCTGTGAATTGGAGCTGTTTTATTTTTGTAAATTAATCAAATGCATCAAATTCTTTGGGTTTTCACCTTAAACATTTTTGTGGCATACAATTTGTATAATGTGAATTTAGAAGATAATAGCATAGGTAAGTCTAATGGACTCATTGGGGTGCTACAATGGATCCTCACCTATTTTTTTTAACTTTTTAATAAGTTGATTAGTCTCTAAATCAGTAATTTGCAAAGTTTAGCATATATCAACATCACCTGAAGAGCTTGATAAAATATAGATTGTGGCTGGGCGCGGCGGCTCATGCCTGTAATCCAAGCACTTTGGGAAGCCAAGTCAGGTGGATCATAAGGTCAGGAGATCAAGACCATCCTTGCCAAAACGGTGAAACCCCGTCTCCACTAAAAAAACACAAAAAACAAGCTGGGCATGTTGGCACATGCCTATAGTCCCAGCTACTTGGGAGGCTGATGTAGGGGAATCCCTTGAACCTGGGAGGCAGAGGTTGCAGTGAGCTAAAATTGCGCCACTGACCTCCAGCCCGGCAACAGAGCAAGACTCTGTCTCAAAATATACATAAATATATATAAATATCTATATATGTAAGGATATATAAATATCTATCTATGTATGTATATATATGTGTGTGTGTGTGTGTGTGTGTGTGTGTGTGTGTATATATATATATATATATATATATATATATATATATATATCTCAGCCCCATCCTTACTTTGCTAATTCAGGAGGTCAGGGGTGGGATCACAGAATGTACATTTCTAACAAGTTTCCAGAGGCAATGCTGATGCTGCCGGACCAAGGACCACAGCTCTAAAATATTCCCTGGGCACTGGTATTTGCAATACACACTTTATACCTAATAATTTGTTTCAGGACACACAAATGCATGTGATATTTGATATATACTCTCAAAAAGCTAACAATTAGTACGTGGTAATTCACCGACATGTACACATGAAGGTAATAGGCCAAGATTGGGCATGTGCATTGTAGTGGATGGAATAACATAAATAAATGCATCCAGGGCTATGGATATAAGATCGGCCTGGCTGGCAAGTCAGACTCATGAAGGACATTGACGAAAAAAAACCACCTGTCTTGTCTGTTTCATGTTATTTTGAGGCTCAAGTGAAACTTAGAAACAACAACAAAAAAGTAAAGTCTGTGATCAAGAAGAATTCCTCTGTTATAACGACAAAAACTAAGAAAAAAAAATACACAAAATTTTCTGCTGCCTTGGGAGATGACCTCATAATGTGTATGATTTATTTTATTAATTTTAATTTTTTTTTTTGAGATGGAGTCTCGCTCTGTTGCCCAGGTTGGAGTGAAGTGGAACGATCTCGGCTCACTGTAACCTCTGTCTCCTGGGTTCAAGCAATTATCCTGCCTCATCCTCCTAAGTAGCTGGGATTACAGGCAAGTGCCACCATACTCAACTAATTTTTGTATTTTTAGTAGAGATGGGGTTTCACCATGTTGGTCAGGCTGGTCTCGAACTCCTGACCCTGTGATCTGCCCGCCCTGGCCTCCTAAAGTGCTGGAATTACAGGTGTGAGCCACCACACCTGGCTGATGTGTATGATTTAACAGCCAGCAGCAACAGGTCACTAACATGCCATCTGCTAACAGGGGCTCTAGCTATTCACATTCACAGAGCTAAACTCTGTATGTCTGATCCCTTGCAAATGATGATGACCTGTCTGAGAATTATTACCTCATGCTTTCAGAGATCCCTTTGCTTGTCCTGCACTGAAAAATGTGGCTGCAATAGTCACATGGAAGAAGCTATCTTTGCTGGCATGTTTCATGGGTTGGCTTATGATCTCTAAGCAAACAGAGGATACAAAATAATACAAAAATCCTGCAAAATGCAGAAGGTAGCTGATATTCATGTTCTCTTTAAATAACTTAACACTGACTTACATATATAAGTGTGTGGAGTCTTTGAACTTGGAAAGCAACTTATTACTGAGCCACAAATGCTAAGACGGACATTTCTTCCACCCACCACATTTTCAATGAGAAGATGCTGAAGGTAAATAAACAGCTCTGCAAATCCAGTTTTGTTTAACTTGGCAACAGGAGTAAGTATCATTGGATACAGAGTCTCGCTCTGTTAACCAGGCTGGGATGCAGTGACACGATCTCACTGCAGCCTCTGCCTCCTGGGTTCAAGTGATTCTCTAACCTCAGCCTCCAGATTAGCTGGGATTACAGACATGTGCCACCATGCCTGGCTAATTTTTTTATTTTTAGTAGAGATGGGGTTTTGCCATGTAGACCAGGCTGGTCTCAAAATGCTGACCTCAAGACATCCTCCTGCCTTGGCCTCCCAAAGTGCTGGGATTATAAGCATGAGCCACCATACCCAGTCTATCATACTTTTGAAAACCTCTGAGACTCCCTTACAAATGAAAGTGGTGACTGAGAACGAATACCTACTAATATCTCAGCGGTGATGATAAAGTTAGTTTTCATTTGACAAAATCTATTTACTATCAGAATACTATAACTACCTAAAAATTGTAAGCATTAACAATTAAATCGCATATATAAAAATTCTAGAGAACACGCAGCTATAGCAACTTCAATGCTATACAGGAAGCTCAAGACATAGGTCCCACACCTCAGTACCTGCCCTCAGGGGATGGGCAGACTAATTTCAATGCCCCCCAAACTAAAAGCAAAGACACAAACGACATGTACAAGACAATACAAGTTGTTGCCAAGCACTGTTTCAGAGAAAAAAGATTACTCATGCTTTTATGAGCACATGTAAATCCATAATAATTACCAAAAGACAAACACATTAAACAGGCTCTTTTAAATGCACTTTTAAAAGGGGCCAAAGGCCCTTCACAAGTAGTGTTTACATGCACATCAAGTCAACATTCCTATGGACAGGTCCCATAACTTGGGACCGGTTAATAGATGAATCCACTAGTTTTGATGAGATATTATACCTAACCTTCTACGATGTACTTTCTAAAGCAGCCCATAGTGTATATGGCAGGAAAATTATTAACTAAGGGAGCTTACTCAGAGAATACATGCAACATTTGTTTCTGAGTTGAATACCAAGAAGCACATTAATATGCCTTCCAAACTCGTCTCACATGAAACAAATTCATCTCATTCCTAGTTTTTGTGAAAACATATTTCAAAATTAATCTCAATTTGGATTCATCTCCATACTCAGGGTGGCAAACATCACTGATTTTTTTCCCTACTGTTTTAAAGAAATGAACCTTGAAGGCAGCTGCTTGTGAAAAACAGAATAACCAGCCCTTGTTCCAGTCTAAAATCATTGGTTGTTCCCAAGACTCTACAAAAAAATCAGGACACATCTGCTCTAGTGTTCCATGCCAGGAAGTAGTCCCACAGCCACCACTGTGGTCTGACTTCACTCCCCAATCATTTTAATTCGGATTTTTTAGATTTCGTTTCAAATTACAGAGCCATACAAACGAGCTGGTAAGTCAAGAAAATAGCTTTGGAACTGCATTGGATCATCAAAAGAAATAGCAGACTTTGGCGTGGGAGACCCTGCCGCAGGCTCCATCCATTTGGTTGAGATGCCCACACATGCACAAAAATAAAAGAATGGTATAAAAACAGACAAAAAATACTGACATGTCACAGTTATCATGGTTTAAGGAAAAGCTCACAAATAATTTCTCTGGAATCTTACCAAAATTTGGAGTAAAAGATGACAGCATGCTAAATCAATTCTCTTGCTACCCCTAAATACTAACCTTCCTGAATGAAGCTCAAGGTGGAATCATTTCACAGCAGATATCAGTTCTAGTAGTTACAGTGTTGTTTAAAACCTCATTAACAAATTTATATATAAATATTCCCCCCAAATGATCTACAGATCCAATGCAATCCTCACCTTTTTTTGCAGAAATGCTGATGGGGTTGGGGAAGGCTTTAAAATTCATGTTGTAACGCAAGAGACCCCAAATGCTCAAAGCAATATTGAAAAAGAAGAACAAAGATAAACTCACACTTGCTGATTTCAAAACTAACTATGAAGCTACAATAATCAAAACAGTGTGGTACTACACTGAGAATAGGCACACAGATCAAAGGAAAAGAACTAAGTATTAAGAAATAAACCCATATTATCAATGAACAATTGATTTTGGGTAATAGTGCCAAGACCATTTACTTGGGGAAAGATAGTCTTTTTCTTTCCTTTTTTTTTGAGACAGGGTCTTGTTCTGTTGCCCAGGTGGCATGATCAAGGCTCTCTGCAGGCTCAACGTCTCCAGACTCAAGATATCCTCCCACCTCAGCCTCCTGAGTAGCTGGGACTACAGACAGATGCTATCACAACTGGGTAATTTTTTGTAGAAATGTGGTCTTGCCATGTTTCCCATTCTGGTCTTGAACTCCTGAGCTTAACTGATCTGCCCACCTTGGCCTCCCAAAGTGCTGGAATTACAGGCATGGGCCACTGCACCTGGCAAGAATTGTTTTTTTCAACAAATGATGCTCAGATGCTGGATATTTATAAGCAAAAGAATAAAGTCAAACCCTGACCTCACACCATATATAAAAATTAAAATGAATCAAAAATTTAACTGTAAGATCTAAAACCACAAAACTCTTAGAAGATAACAGAGGTATAAACTGTTGTGACCTAGTTTCAGACAATGGTTTCCTAGATACAATATCACAGTAACTGCAACAAAGGAAAAAAACTGATAAAATGGACTTCAAAGTTAAAAGTTTTTGTGGGTCAAAAGAATCCTATCAAGGAAATGAAAATACAACCTACAGAATGGGTAAAAGATTTCCAAATCATGTATTTAATGAGAATTTAATAGCACCCAGAATATATAAGAATTCTTACAACTCAATAATAAAGGCAGGCTGAACATGGTGGCTCACACTTATAATCCTACCACGTTGGGAGGCTGAGGTGGGCAGGCTGCCTGAGCTCAGAAGTTTGAGACCAGCCTGGGCAGCATGGAGAAACCCCGTCTCTACTAAAAATACAAAAAATTAGCCAGGCGTGGTAGTGCGTGCCTGTATTCCCAACTACTGGGGAGGCTAAGGCATGATAATCACTTGAACCCGTGAGGTGGAGGTTGTAGTAAGCTGATATTGCGCCACTTCACTTCAGCCTGGGTGACAGTGTGAGACTGTTTCCAAAAATAAAAATAAGAAAATAAGAAAGGCAAACAACCCAATTAAAAAACTGGCAAAGAATCTGAACATACATCATTAATTTGAACTGAACAAAATAATCCATAGTAAACCACTGCAACGGCATGAAGAAAACACTGTGGTTGTTTAGTTCATCAAATTCCTGCCAGCGTCCATTTGGAGCACAATAAACAACATCAGTATACTGCACTGAATTACACATATTAAGGTCAACAATTTGTCTGCCAGGATGATAGAGACAGTGATTTTTTTTTTAAAGAAAACATTTTTTACATTCACTCTTCCTAGAACTGTATTCTTTTTCATGGAGCTATAAGGATTTACTTTTCCCTAAAATTATGGAGTAGAAATACATATAAGAATTATCTGTTGGCCAAATGGGAAAACTATAAAAATCATTCAGGAAA